GCGGGCCATGATTGATAATGTCGCAGAGATGTGTAGATTGTTGCTTAGAAAATTGCCCCGACGAGCTGGTGTTTACGATCGGTATATATATGAACATCGCGAGAGCGGTAAACGCGGTTGGAAGTCTGAGAACATGATTGATATATTTATGAATGGTGAAAATGAACAAGGGTGGTTTACGGAATGATGCTAACGCAGTTTATAATAAGCTTTTGTATTCCCAGCCGCACCACCCAAATATCAGCCTCACCCGCATCTAGCACCAATCCAACATGCGCGTCCATCAAACATGCACTTCAAACCCATCCAAGATGCATCCACATTGTCAGATTGGGTTGTCGTTGGAGGTGATGGGCGCGGAGGGGAGCGTCCGGTTTTATGTGTGTGCTATGTGGCATTGCATCGAATTCTATGTTTCGACTTCAGTGGCAAGTTGTGGCTCGAGTGATTGCAGACGCATGTATGTCGGGCGATCGCAAATAAACCGAATCATCGGCATTGGCTCCGGTTAGAGTCGAAGCGAGCCGCAATGCAAAACAGTTTTTCGGATATTTGTTAGCCTCGAGCAGTTGAGGAGCACGTTTCAGCGATGCTTTTGCAAGTTGCAGGGGGGGGGGGGGGGCTGCTCGCGCGGAAGCCAATGCCAGCGAGTCACCAGAGAAACGCCCATAGCCGCAAGGTAAACGCCACCTAGCGGGGTCGGGGTTGTTTTCCTCCCTTGACAGTGGGGTATGGGGCTAGGTCGGGCATGTCCTCCTACAGGGGATTTTGGATGAACAATAGAAGCAGTAAGCGCATGTTTAATCGTAGCCAAACACAGTGCAAACATGCTCTCCATACTAATTATCGGTCAGCCATTTTCGAACACTCCCCCTGTAGAGAGACATGCCCGACTGAAGTTTGGGGGGCGGGGGGCGGGCGCTGCGGTCGCCGTTCCTCGGCGTCCGCCTGGCGCGAGCGCCGGGTGGGCATGTCTGCGCGGGCGCGTTGCCGTGCGTCGAGTGCGGCCAGGGGGGCAGGCGGCAGGGGCGAGGGGTGAGTGGGGTGGGGTGGCAGATGGGGGGGGGGGGGGGGGGGGGCGACGACGGCGGGCAAACCCGGGCCCGCGCCGCTCGTCGCCTGAGCCCGCGGGGGCAGCTTAGACAGTTGAGTAGGGGGGGGGGGCGACGGTGGCGGAGGAGTTGGAGGAGGCGAAGGAGGAAGTAATCGATGGCGATGCGGCGGGCGAAGTGGATCGACGGCGGGACGAGGGAAAAGAAGGCGCCGGGTAAAGAAGGCGGGCGCGTCGGGTGGCGGGGGGCAGATGGCGCAGGGGGGGCAGCAACGCCGGGGGTCGAGGATGGGGGGTGGATCTGTGGAGGTCGGCACGTTGGCGACGAGCGGGGCGGGGGGCGGGCGACGCGAGAGGAGACAATTGGGCGGGCGGCGGGATGGGGGGTGGGTGGGGGGGGGGGGCGTGCGGAACTCGAAGAGCCGAGCTCATCCCGCGTGAACGACGACAGCCGTTTCGAGCGTGCGTCTGAATATCACGTGCGTCCCCGATCGGACCCCCTCCGTTTGCGTCGCCCTCCTCCCGCGTGCCCCTCCCGTTTCCAATGGCACCCGCATCGGGGTTGCATCGCCGCGTTATGACATGCGTTGATGTTTGCCGACTAGGCGAGAAGAGCTCGATGGAACAGATTGGCTCGCGATGCTGCTATTAGATATAACGCGCGTCATACAAGCGACGTTTTAAAACCGTACGACTGCGCGCGAGCGCGTGACATCTTAAATCAAGAAGCGCCGCGTTCGAACGCGGATCGCGTTTCCGATCTACAGGCGCACGTTTGCGATCTATCATACATGAGCACAAATTAAGATCTCCCATGCAGATCCCAGTCTCCTCTGGGATGGGGGGCGAGCGAGGGCCCCGGCGAGGAGTTCGCGTGCGACGCGAGCGCCGTCCGGTTCAGGGCCTGGAAGGGAAACCCCGCGCGCCGCCGCGCCGCGCGCGAAGGGTATCTGCGCGATGCGAGGGGCCCCGACGGGGGGGGCCCGGCCCGCCCGGACTGCGCGCGAGCGGGGGTGCGCGAGCGAGGGCGGCAACAGGCGGGGCCCCGGCCGGGGATGGACTGGGCGGGGGGGCGGGCTCAGACCACCGAGGGGCCCGAAGACGGCGGTGCCGGGCGCTGGGGGAGCTCTGCGTCGTAGACCTCTCTCCACGGCGGCGCGGCGAGCCCGCGATCCCAGACCCCGCCTCCGCGGAGGGGGGGGGGGGAGGCCAGCCTCGGATAGGGGGGGGAGGGGGGGGGGGGGGCTCGCGGAGGAGATAGAAGCGGTCCGGGGCGGCTGCGTCTTCGGGGGCCCGGGGCGGGCGAAGGGGGGGGCGAGGGTCTACTCCTTGATTGGATCGCCCGCCTCGCCCGCGGCCAGAAGAGGTCGGAGGGCGCCGCGCGGGGGTCGATGGCGGTTCGCCGCTGCCGCGTGGCAGCCAGGAGCCCTGGTCCCGCGGAGCTGGCGCCGCGCCTCTAGCTGGCGCTAGGAGGGCCGAAGAGGGCGGGGGCCATGCAGAACCGCGGGTGCCGGGTGACGGTGGAGATGCTGCGCTGGCCACGGAAGGGGCTGGCGACGGGGAAGGTCGGGGACGTGTTTCGGTGGGCCGCCATCTCAGTGGCTGTCTTCTTCGTGCCCCGCGCCTCGGAGCGCCTGGCTGACCCGGCGAGGCCGCGGGCGGAGGCCCTCGGGCCCTGCCCCCTGGAGCGCGCTCGCGGGGGCGGGCGAAGTGGTGGTTTATATGTGCTGGGGCAGGGCGGGCCAGTGCAACCTCGGTTGCTGCAGGAACCACTGCGCCACTGGCAATGCCTTGTGCCCGGCGAGGGCCCTAGCCGAGCTGGAACGCCTTGCCCCGCGGCGGTGGATTTCGGAGGGGGCGCGCCCCTCTTTCGAGGCGAGGGGGGGGGGAGGGGCGATCAGGAGGCAGGGCGCGATGGTGCTACCGGGCCAATGCGCGGCGGCGGCAGGGATCCACCCGTCGCGCGTCGGGGGCCGCTCCCCGCGCGTCGGAGGCGCCGCCGCAGTTCGCCGCGCTGTCCCGGAGCGCCTCAGGAGGTTTGGGAGGTGGAAGTCGAGCGCCTTCCACGCGCGCCTCCTGGAGGCGCACGAGCCCCAGAAGGGCCTTGCCGAGGCAATGTCGACGCAGAACTACCAGCTTGGAGGGTGGGATGGGGACATAGAGGCCAGCCCAAGAGCGGTGGCCAAGCCGCCCTTAGCGTGGGGCGGGAGGAGGGCCCTTTGGCGGGGTAGTGATGTCGCGGGCGGCCTGCCTGCGGCTGGACCCCAGCTTTTCGCAGCGAAAAAGGGCCCTTATCTTTCCTATCCTCCGATAGTGCAGTGGTCTAAGCGTGGGGAATCTGGTTTTGTTAGTGCATGGCTGTAAGTTTAGGATTCTCCGTGTCAGGTCTGCCTTTCGCCTCCCTCTCTCTCTCTCTTTTTTGCTTGTTTTATGTTGTTGTTTCTTTTAGTTGTTTCTCTCTCTCTCTCTCTTTCTCTCTCTTTGTCTCTCTCTCTCTCTTGTTGTTTTTTGTGCTCCTCTCTCTCTCTCCCTCTCTCTCTCTCTTTTTCTCTCTTCTTCCCTCCTGCAGCCTTCTCGGCCTGTGCTGCAAGTGTCCCCCCTCCCACCCAACAGTTCTTCATCCCGCCCGTCAATGTGCGGGCGGGGCGGCCTGCCTGCAGTTGAACCCCAGCTGCTCGCCATGAGAAAAAAAACGGTTGGTTCCTCCCTATCCTCCGATTGTGCAGGGATATATGCGTGGGGAATCAGAACTGGTTCTGCAGCTTTACGCGCATGTTCTCCAACATGGTTTTGGCTATTCCGTGCTGCGAATCCCGTCTCGGGCCCCAAGGCCGTCAGACATCATCCCGGGGAGGAGGAACTTCCAGGATGGAAACCTACCTGGACGAGGAGGAGGATCGAGGATCGAAGAGATGGTTCGGGTTAGAGTTGCTATATCCTGCGCGTCCTGGGCCGCCGTCGTCGCCGCGATCGAAAATCGGGTCAGTGCGCGCCCGTACGTAGGTTCAGGGGTTGATTTGTATGGAGAGGTCAAACGATCGATGTTCGAGGATCGATATCCCAGGTTCAAGTCTAGTGAGCTTTGCCTCCCTCGCACCTGTTTCCACATTTCCAGTGTTTCCACAACAAAAAATCTCTGGCCCCCCTGTTTCGTGCCCTTCTCTTTTTTTTGTTTGTTTGTTTGTTTGTTTGTTTTTTTTTGTTTTTTTGTTTTTTTTGTCCTTCTCCTACCTCGTTCAAGTGCGTCAGGATCGGCGAAGGCTGACCTTCGCGCCAGCGTGACGGATCAGGGGGGAGTGGGGGAGATGTAAGTAGCTCTCAGCGGAGGGAACAGGCAGGCCCCGCTTTCGATTTGAGAACTGCTGGCCACAGGGGCAAAGGCACTAGGGGAGAATCAAGTTGCTTCCAGTTCATTCCAGGCTCGGTCGTGGGCCCGCTCAGTGGCCGAAGGGTCTCATATCAAGTACTGTGTGTGTTGTTCAGCGCGGGTTTCCAGACGCCCAGACCCTTTCCTGGAGGCTGGCATATCATCACGAGTTGTCTTTCGACGGCCTCATGCCCTGAAATGGCCGAAGACTACAGCACACGCCCACCGTCGTGGTTTTGCCCACGAAGCGAAGAGGTGGGGCGACCCCGACGTGGGCTGTTTGGCCCAGTCCCCCCCAACGAGGCGCCCGACCTCTCGTCGACATTTTCCCTGACAGGACCGGCTTCTCGCCCCGAGTCACTTGCCCGTCGACATCCCCTGCAGTGCCCGAAAAACCGACGTTTCCGAAGGTCGAAAGCCAGAACGGCCTCGTCGGTTCGAGGTTGTCGAGCCTCTGGAGGTTTGGGGGGGCCAGGGGCGCCGAACAACGTCGGGCGACGAGACTCTTCACCTATCCACTGCCCCTGGCCAGGATGGTCCTGGCCAGAGGCAGTGGATGCCCTCCCCCCGGGCCGGCCCGAGGTGGGCACCCTGCAGCGATGCAGCGCTGCGGAGAGAGGCGCGCCGGCGCCGGGGGCCTCCGGCCGGACCGGCCAACGTCTCGCCGCCCGTGGGGCGTCTCCAGCCGGGCGTCGATCGATTCGACTCTGGTTTAGAGGTTCGAGGATCGAGATTCGCCAGAGTCGTCGGGGTCACTCCATGTTGTCCCTCCCCATCTTTATCCTTCTCTCGTTCCTTTTCCGCCACTGCTTTTCCGCCCTTCTCCCTCGCTTTCGCCGTCTCTCTTCCTCTCCCACCGCCTTCCTCTCGGTATTGAAGAGGCCTTACGGCCAGTGCCGGCGACCCTGAACGAGGACGGCGACGATGTTGAAGTGGGTCATAGTCCTCTTCGGAGCGCTTTCGGGTGCCTCTGGTGGGTAATTTTGGGGCCTCTTGGGAGCCTGTTGGGAGCCTGTTGGAAGGCTCTTGGGGGCATCTTGGGCTTTCTGGGCGCAAATTGAAGGTTTCTTGGGGGCGTCTATGGGGCTTCTTGGCTCTTCCTGGGAGCCTCGCACCGCCCACCATCGCCTTCGCCGTCTTTCTTTCTCTCCCCCCGCCTTCTCGGTATTTTAGAAGTCGCGAGGTCAGTATGGCGTGGCAGTTCTCCCCTCAGGGGGGGTGAGTGAGGGAGTTCCCCCAGGGGGAACAACCCTTCAGGGTGGTTTGGGGGAGGGTTAGAGGGTTTCCCCCCAGACCACCCCCCACCCCCCTCTCAGGCAGTTTTTTTGTTTGTTTTGTTGTTTTGTTAATCGGAGGTTGGGGGGTGAGATCGAAGTGGAACGGAGAGCCCCCCACCGGGAAATCGGTTTCGGTTTCGTGTTCGTGGGTGCCGTGCGTGCGGGCGAGGTGAAGCTGCGTGGGCGGGCAAGAGGAAAGTCTCCTGAGGCTGAGGCGCGGCCGGACCAAATGATTCCCCCCTGGGCAAACCCCGCGGGGCCGCGCGGTGGCCCGCCGGTGTCCCGCCGGTGTCCCGCTGGTGTCCCGGTAAGTCTCCTGTGGCTGAGGCGCGGCCCGACCGGCAAACGGGGCCGCGCGGTGTCCCGCCGGTGTCCCGCCGGTGTCCCGCCGGTGTCCCGCTGGTGTCCCGCTGGTGCGAAAACGATAGTGAGACCGATGTGAGATCGATTGTGAGATCGATTGTGATATCGATAGTGAGGTCGAGAGTGAGATCGATCGAGTGAGATCGATGGTAATGTCGATTGTGGAATCGATAGTGAGAGCGATACTGGGATCTATGGTGAGATCGATTGAGCAAGACCGATAGTGAGATCGATCGAGTGAGATCGATGGAGTGATATCGATAGTGAGATCGATAGTGAGATCGATGGAGCGATATCGATAGTGAGATCGATAGTGTGATCGACGGAGTGATGTAGTGAGATCGATAGTGAGATCGATAGTGGGATCGGAAACGAGATCGAGAGTGAGATCGACAGTGGAATTCATCGAGTGAGACCGATAGTGAGATCAATCGAGTGAGATCGATAGTAAGGTCGATAGTGAGATCGATCGTGGGATCGATAGTGAGACCGATAGTGAGATGCACATCGAAATGCAGATCAAAATGCAGATCGAAAAGCAAATCGACATGCACATCGATAAGCACATGCAAATGCAAATCGTCAGGCACATCGACATCCCGTGCTGTATGCTGTGCCAAGAGCGAGCGGCAACGCAACAATCTCTGAACACCAAGGCTCCCAGTACGAACGTTGGCGGAACAGGCTCGTAAGGGGGTCGCTCCAAGAAGCTCCCAGGAGGCCCCAAGAGGCCCCCAAGAAGCCCAAAAAGGCTCCCAAGAGGCCCCCAAGAGGCCCCGCAAGAGGCCCCCAAGAGCCCCCCCCAAGGGGTCCAAAAGACGAGCCCAAACGGCCCCCCAAGCCCTTGCAAACTTAACGAACAAGTTAATTATTTCGTTGGTTCCCTGGGAGGGGAAATGCTACCAAGGCGCCAAGGAGCGAAGGGTGACGTAAGCAACTCGACACCAAGGCTCCCAAGAGCGAGCGGCAACGCAACAATCTCCACTGGCATCGTCAGAACAGCAATCACCACTGTTGCCCATTGCTGGCCAGAGTCGCCCAAGACAGCCCAACAGAGCCCCAAGACGGCCCCAAGATGCGCCCAAGAGGGGGACCACGACTCCAAAATTCGACCCTCCCGCTTGAAGAGTGCCCCAGGAGGCCCCAAGGAGCCCCCAAGAGGCCCCAGGAGGCCCCCAAGAGGCACCCAGGAGGCCCAAACGAGGCCTAAAGAGGCTACAAAACAGCCCCGAGGAGGCCCCACAACGGTCCCAAAACGGCTACCGAGAAGCTGCGAAACTGCCTTCACGACGTCCCCGACAGGCCAACCACGAGATCCACACCAACACCCATGAGGCCTCTGACCCACCACCCAGGGCACGGTGGCGGGAGCAGTGACAGCACTTGTGCACAGCATGTTCCGGCGGGAGCCTTCCGGAACACGCTGCAGGAGGAGGAGGAGGAGGAGGAAGATCAGGAGGAGAGAGAGTTGGAGTGGGAGGAGGAGGAGGAGGGGGACGAGGAGGAGGAAGAGGCCTCCCAGACAGCTCCAAGATAGCCGAAGAGGCTTCCAAGAGGGCCCTGCGCGGCCCACGAGGGCCCCAAGGCGGTGCCTGAGGCGCCCAAGACGGCCCGAGAGGGCCCCAAGACGGCCCCAAGAGAGGCCCAAGAAGGGAAACACGAACCGAGAATCCGAGCTTTTTACCCCGAGAGGTTCTCGGGAAGTCCCAAGAGGCCCCCAATCGGATCCAAGAGGCCCCCAAGAAGCTCCCAAGAGGGCCGACGAGGTTCCAAGAGATCTCCCAAGGTGGCCCCAAGAGGCGCAACTCATTGTTTTACGATTGGGCTTTGACGGGTTTTAATTTTTTCGGCCTTTTGGCATCCCGATGCTCCAAGACGGCCCAAGAGGCTTCCAATACCGCTCCCATATAGAGGAAGAGGACTCCAAGAGGGCCCCAAGACGGCCCGCGAGGGCCCCAAGACGGTGCTTGAGGCGCCCAAGACGGCCCGAGAGGGCCCCAAGAGCCCCAAGAGAGGCCCAAGAAGGGGAACGCGACCAAACAGCAGATCGGTCCCCCCACAAGGCACAGGAGGCCGCAAGAGGCCCCGAAGTGGTCCGACGAGGACCCCAATAGCTTCCCGAGGGCCTAAGAGGCCCCTAGGAGACGTCCAAGAGGCTCTAAGATAGCCCAAGAGTGCCCTTGATGCGTCAAAACTGCTTCCAGGAGGCCTCCGGGAGGCTTCCGGATTGCCTCAATCTGGCCGCAGGTGGCCTCAAGTCGGGCTTCCACGCAGCCAAGACGGCCAATGACGGCTTCAGATTGCAGAACCGATGCCCCCCCAAGAAGCACCCAAGAGGTGCCTCCAACAGCCAGTTGACGAAGCATGCGGAACACCCCAGAAGCTCCTCAGATGCCGTCGCGCGCCTGTGCTTGATATCGTTGTCCAAGATCGTCCAGCGCCCCCCAGGCCTGGGCTAGAACCTGAGCGCGCGCGAAGCGCGCGCGATGGTTCTAGTATATATATATATATATATATGTTAAAGACATACACACGAATATATGCACAAATAAACAAATATAAGGTTTAGAAAGGTTTAGGGGAGGTCCCTCTCGGAATCATCTCCTCAGGGGGTGGGGGGGGGAAGGTTGTGGGTGTGTTCGGAGAGGTCTTCCCCCTGGGAACCCCGCGGAACCCCCTCTCAGGGGCCTTTTTTGTGGGTAAGGGGGATCAGAGGGGGTTCTCCCCAGACCCCCCCTCAGGGAGTTTTTTTTTTTTGTTGCGGGCTAGGGGGGATTAGGGGGGATTCCCCTGGTCCCGCCCTCGACCGCTTCGCTGGGGCTGTTTTTTTTCACTTTATATATACACATATTTATTTATTTATTTATTTATTTATTTATATATATATATATATATATATATATATTAGAAAAAATCATGGCTCACACACCATGGATCGCACCATACGTATATATATATATATATGTGTGTATATATATGTATAAATCACGGTGATCTCAAACCCCTGGATAGTCGCCTCCCCTTGTCGTGTGCCAAGTTGCATATACTTCTGCCCCATCGTCCCCCTGGCCATCCTCTTCAAACCATACCATGCGCGCTTTCGTTGATAGAAAAATCAGGAGTTTGCAGAACTCCTTTGTGCAATTCCTTTTCAACTCCTTCGCGTTGTCGCGTGCGTGCCGAATTCCGTTCAACACCTTTTGGTTTCATAAGGACTTCGAATTTGAGCGTCCGGAAAACATATAAAAACGCAAGGTTTTGCACCGCAGATCTTCAGGCACAAATTTCGTGCGCTCTCTTGCGAATTCTTCAACAACAATAATTGTTGTTCAATAGGCTTCGCGCGCGCATGTCGCAGTCGTTCGATAGTCCTTGTGCGCGTACCGTCGCGAGAATCTCTTGCAACAAATGGGACGGCGTGCGCGCGCGCGTCGTCGCGCGCGCATGCCGAAGTCCGTCAACAACCGTCGGTGTCGTGACAATGTCAAAAACCGAATGTCCAACAAACAAATAAACACGTGGTTTCGCAACATCAGTTTTCAAACCAGCGTCCGCTCGCGCTCGTGTGAGGTCTGAGGAAAACCATAGGTTTCTCAACACGCTTATGGCATTCTGCCAAACGGGCCTCTGGCGCCGCATGCGGACATCTTTCGCGCGCCCTTGCGCGCGTGCTGGGGGGGGGGACGGTCGGTGTCAAATAATACCACGGGGGCCACTCGCGTGTCGGCCGCGCGCGCATGTCGAACTCTTGTCCAAAACCTTCATCACCGACGCGGGGACGCCGTCATCGTCGTCGGCGTGATCAGCATCGACGCCCGCACTGGCCGCGCCGTCGTCGTTGTCAACATCGCCACCAGCATCGCTACTACCATTCATCGCGTCTACTTTTGTCGACGCTGCCATGATACCGCGCCCGCCCAGGTCGCCAACGCGCACTGAAGTGCCCGCTGGGATGTGCCCAGCGGTCAGCGCCACTGCGGCGGCGTCGGTCGCGCCAAGCTAGTTGGCCGCTGCGCGAACGTGGTTGGGCAGGCGCGGCCGCAGCAATGGACCAGCCAATGTCAAGCACTCACCGCAATCGCCACCGCATGGGTTTTCTAACCAAATTGCGGGCGGGTGGGTGGGATGATTGCGCGACCAGTGGAGGTAGTCAAGCGCGGTGCAGAGCAGCCAGTTGCGCCACATAGCTTCCACCACATAGCTTGCCACACACTCTGCACCACACAGTTTGCACCGCACATATTGAATCACCTAGTATGCACGCTGGTTAGCATTTGTTAGACGAATGTGTTCAGCTCGCATTTTTTCCCACCTGATGGGTATATGCTCCGTGCCGTTGCCCACCACGCGGCTTGCTATTGCGTTCACTTTACAGTTTTTCGTGGGCATGGACTTCGCGGGCCAGGCCCTGCGTTTGGCACCCGCCCCCTGCCAGTCCAGACTCGTGTGCTCGTGTCCCCGCCTCCCCCCCCCGCCTCTCGCCCCCCTAGTATCTCGTGCCCCCCGGCCTCGTACCCCCGTCCGTCCTCCTCCCGCATCGCGTTCCGCCCTCCCGCTCGCGTGTGGCGCGTCCGCAGGAACGACCCGCGCCAGCGCCAGCGCCAGCTGCAGCCCCCCCCCCTCTCCACCTCCGCCCCAGGCGGCACGAGATCGGAGGCGGTCAGCGCGGCGCGGATCCTGGCCACGGACGTGGTCAACGCGTTCGAGGCCCCCGCAGAAAGGGGAGGGAAACTGAAGGACGGGAAACATGTTTAGCATGATGGTGATGGTGATGATGATAATAATGATTCTGGTCGTGCTACATGCGATAATTATTTTGCTCGTGGGGTTGAGCATGGCGTTCACGATTGTACTAGTGGATGTGATGATGGTGATGGTGATGATGGCAATGACGATGACGATGACGACGGCGATGTCGATGATGATAGTCACGCCGACGATGATGATGATGACAATGATGATGATGATGATGAAGATGATGATGAAGATGATGATGAAGATGATGATGATGATTATGATGATGATGATGATGCTGATCGTTATGCGGATGATGATTATGAGCATGAGCACGAGGACGTTGATGACGATGCCGACGTCAATGGCGATTCTGATGATGTTGATGTGACTGATGCTGATTGTGATGATGATGTTGAAATAAGGGTACTGGTGATGATGATGATGATGATGATGATGTTGATGGAGATGCTGATTATGATGATGATGATGATGATGATGATGCCGATGATGATGCTGATGATGATGATGATGATCATGATTTGAACGTGGATGATGGCGCTGCTGATGATGATGATGATGCTGATAATGCTGATGATGGTGATGACGACGACGGTGCTGATGCTGATGCTGATGCTGATCATGGTGATGATTGTGCCGATGATGATGCTGATGATGATGCTGATGCTGATGCTGATGTTGATGATGATGGTGGTCGTGATGACGACGACGTCGATGATAATACTGAGATGATTCAGGCGGTGATGACGATGATGTGGCTGTCGATACAGACGAGGCTGACGCAGTTTATGCTGTTTGGTATGAGTATGATGTTTGTGACGATACTGCCGATGGTGATTGTGATGCTGATGCCGATGATGACGATGATGATGCTGATGATGATGATGATGACGATGCTGATGATGACGACGATGCTGCTGATGATGTTGATGATGATGACGATGATGATGATGCTGGTGGTGGTGACGAGTGTAGTCGCTGCGGCTACTGATTATGATGCTGCTAATGCTCATGACGGTGATGATGATGATAATGATGATGATTATGATGATGATGATGATGATGATGATGATGATGATGATGATGATGATGATGATGATGGCGTTGATGCGGCTGCTGCTGACGACGACGGTGACGTTGATTATGATTGTGTTGCTGCTGCTGATGCTGATTTAGATGATGCTTATCATGATGATGCTGATGATGATGATGATGATGATGATGATGGTGGTGGTGGTGATGATGATAACAACTGTTGATGATGGAACGATGATGGTGACGGTGGTGGTGATGTGATGTGATGTGATGTGATGTGATGTGATGTGATGATGGTGATGGTGATGGCGATGGTGATGATGCTGATGCTGGTGATGCTGATGATGCTGATGATAATGCTGCTGATGATGCTGATGCTGATGATGCTGGTGATGCCGATGATGATGGTGATCTGATGATGACGGTGATAGTGGTGATGTCGAAATCGGTTAGCGCGGTCGGACCTCGGCAGAGGGGGTAACAGAAAGTGAGGACGGAGGAGGTGGCACATATTTGGTCAGCGAAGCACTGCTCGCCGCCACCGCCCACCAATTCCACAGCGCGCTCGGCCGGGGGCCCGCGCTCTTACCGCCAACACCGCTCTGGCCGAAGCGCGGCTGTCCAGCTGAATCCCGCCAATCAGCTACTGGTGCGTATTTTCATCGTTGCTGAGGTCTCGCATGTGGTCCGGATTGGGGGGAGGCGAAGAGCGATCGATCTTCCTTCGCGGAGGAGGGAAGGAATGTACATTTCCCCCCTCTTTTGCAAGCTAGAGTGTGTGGGTGTAAATCCAGTTGGATGTGTGAGGCGTCTCGTGCCGCGGCGAAGGAGAGGGAAGGGGCCAGTTTTTATAGGGACGAGGGGGAGGAGGAGGACTTTTCCCCTCCTCCCCCTGCTCATTATTTTCTCCCGCCTTCCCCTTCCCTTCTCCATTTCCTTTTCCCTCTTCATCGTCTTTCCCCTATCCACCTTCCGCCTTGGAACCCCTTGCCCAGATTCGGAACAAGCTTCAAAACAACGCCCAACACCCAACACCAGCGAATACCAGAACGACGGCGGCGAGACGGCTGCGCCGACGACGATGACGACGAAGAGTGGCGAGTTGCGAATGATAGATGAGAGGTGACGACGGTGACCGACGACGACCAGAAGTGTAGGGAAGCTTCGAGATTTTCAATACTGGTTTGAATCGGGCGACAAACTCCACATTTGTACTTTGAACATCGATCTTCGACAACGGTGGCGATGACAAGAAGTGCCGATCGACGACGACGATGGCCGACATGGGGCCGACTAAATGCCAAGATTCCCGAAACAATTCGACCCCTGATCCCCCTCACACTCATCCACGACGTCGGCAGCGGCGACGACGACAACGCCCGCGTCAGCAGAGAGACCGCAGGCCATGCGTGCCTACCTGAGGGAGGTGGAGCGCTGCCTGGAACAGGCCGTCGGCGTGGGGGGTGGTGAGCATTTGTTTGACAGTATCGTACGTTCTCCTGTGTGGCGGCGGGAGGATATCGGAGCCTGCTAACACAGCTGCAGCGGTCCTGGCAAGGTCAGTCTTGGGCCCACAAGGATCGGCATGTACGCCTCGGGGCCATCTTGGCCGTCTTGGAGGTGTCTTTGGACAGTCTTGGAAGCCGTCCTGGCGCCATCTGTTGCGGAAAAGCCCCACGGGATGTTCTGTTGGCGGGCTGTGTCGAAGGTCATTGGGAAACCTTTGGAATGGAGAAGAACAACTATCCTTGCGAAAGGCCCAACCATACGCAGTTGTGAGTACCTCAGTTGTGCGTATCCTCTTCCGTGGAGCTCCCCATGGGGCCACGAGTCACAGCCATGGGGGCCTTAGGTGGAACTCCCGATGGGGCCACGCAGACGACGACGACCACAACGACTTCGGCGGCGGCGACTTCGACGGCGACGTCGACGGCGACGCCACGACAACGGCGGCGGCGACGGCGATGGCGTATGCGGCGGCGGCGACGGCGCCTGCGGCGGCGCCAGCGACGGCGGCGGCGGCGACGGCGTCGACGACAACGACGCCGCCGCCGACGACGACGACGCCGCCGACGACGACGACGACGCCAACGGAATACGAGCCGATGGTCTTCAGCCGCTACGGCCGCCTCGAGAAAACGGGTAGCATAGGGTAGAGTAGAACAGGGTAGAGTAGATCAGAGTAGAGTCGACTAGGGTAGATGGCGGAGTAATATCGGATATAGAACAGTACAGGAGAGTAGAGTGCAGTTAGAGTAGGGCCAGAAGTAGAATGGAGCAGAGTATATTAGTGTAGTGTAGAGTAGGATAGGGCAGGGTAGGGTAGGGTAGAGCAGAGAAGGGTCGAGTATAAGAGAGTCGAGTAGAGTAGGGTAGATAGTATAGTAGAGTCGGGTATGCTAGAGTAAGTAAAGTAAAGTAGAGTAGAGTAGAGCGGAGTATAGCAACCCGACTAGTAAAGTCGAGTATAGTATATTAGAAACGGTCAACTTGTATGATAATAGAGTAATTCGGTACCATAGTAGAGTATAGTAGGAGCAGAGCCGTTTAAGAGTAGGAGCAGCGTACAGCTGAGTAGTGCAGTGTTGAGTAGGTTATGGCAGGGTATGGTTTAATCGTGTAAAGCCGAGCATAGTATAAAAGTGCGATGTCAGCAGCTACGTTGGGGCCTATCTGGGCGCCGTGCAGCCCTGGCGCCATCGTGGAGGAGGCGTGAGTCTGCGTGACAGCCAGAAGATAATCGAATCTATCATATTTAAGTAGGGTAGGGTAGAGTAGGGTAGAGTAGACTGGAGTATGCTAGGGAAGAGTAGGGTAGGTGGTAGAGTAGGGTCGGGCATAATAGAGTATAGTATCCAGTCCAGTCCAGTCCACTCCTGCCCAGTTTATTTTAGTCCACTCCAGTTCACTTCATGTCAGTCTTCTGATGTATTTGAAACCTGCGCTGGTGTTTGCTTGCTCTCGTAATGCCTATGTTGGTGCTGATCTATTTGGGTGCGTTTTGTAATGATTGTTATGCGTGCTTAGCCATGTGTGTGTGTAACTCTTCGGCGTCTGAACGTCCCTTCTTCCTCTCAGCCGTGCCCCCCTCCTTGTTTGCTCGCCGGCCAATTCGCTAGTTAGTGCCTCTATCTAGCTTCTCGCTGGAGCGGAGTTCGCCGCTCCGCCGCTGACGAAAAAACGTTTCGCCGTGTGGTGTCCGTGGTCGTCGTCGTCGTCCTTGCAATTCAGAATGCCCCCCCACACACGGTTGGCCCCGCCCCCCTCGCGCAGGCGGGGAGCCCTGCCCGGATCGACCCTCCCTCTTATAATTCAGGGTGAAGGGGCCCCTCCTGGTTCAAACCCCCCTCCCCCTTGGAGCGCCCCCTTTCGCGTTAGGGAGGCCGACGTTCGGGAGGGACCCCCTCTGGTTTTCATTGCACGCTTTGGTTTTTTGCATTGCCCCCCCGGCTCCCACTAGGCCCAACAACATTTCAACGCAAACATCCACCAAACGCGTTCTCTCTCACGGTGCTATACAAAGTCAAAGGGCTCGGGGTTGACAAGGGTCATTCCGAAAATTGCATGAGAAAAGATACGGGTTTCATTTGCATTCTGGGAGTCAGCTGTTGCATGTGCCCAGTAAGCACAGGAGACACTTGCCACTCCGAAAACTTAGTGGAAGAAACAAGCCGTTTCACTTGTACTCAGGGTGTCAGCATGAGGCCGCGCATTGTGCAAACATACATGTTAGCACCCGCCACCCCGAAAGCTGAAAGAGGACAACCCGTAGTTCCCCTTTCATTCTGGACGTCATAAGGGGTGATTCAGTGTGAACAGGCACAGTCGTGGCATGTCTTATTTCGAACGTTGCGAGCGGAACATTGGTTGTGCCATTTGTGTTCTAGGCGCCAACGTGAGATCAGACAGTGCGAACTAAGAAGATGACACGTGCGATCCCAGAAATTTCGTGAGACAAATATTGTGTTCACGCGTATGATGGGCGTCAACACGGAGTCATAGTGTGTGTGTGTGAGAGAAAAAGCAGGGTTGGGCGAAAACGTTGTTTAACACACAAATGCGTGTGTTGTTGTTTGTTTTGTTTTTTCCTTGCCATCCTGTGGTGTTGGGTCCTCGTTTTGAAGAACCGGTGCCCCGCGTTCCTCTCCTCTCCTCTCCTTCCTCCTCCTCCCTCCCCTCTTCTCCCTCCTCCCACCATCATCATCAGCATCATCGGCATCATCAGCATCATCACCATCACCATCACCATCACCATCACCATCACCATTGCCATCATCACATCATCATTATCATCATCACCATCCACATCATCGCAGTCATCATCATCATACGACCCCTCACACGCTTCGTGGCCCCATAGGGAACTCCACCGAAGGTCCCAGTGGCTGCGTTCGCATGCGGGCACCGCTCCCATGTCGGCACACCCCTCACACGTTTCGTGGTCCCATAGGGAGCTCCACCGAAGATCCCAGTGGCTGCGTTCGCATGCGGGCACCGCGCCCATTTCGGCACACCCCTTACACGGTCCGTGGCCCTTTAGGGAGCTCCGCCGAAGGCCCCAGTGGCTGCGTTCGCATGCGGGCACCGCATCGATTTCGGCACACCCTTCACACGTGTCGTGGCCCCATAGGGAGCTCCACCGAAGGCCCCAGTAGCTGCGTTCGCATGCGGGAACCGCACCCATGTCGACACACCCCTCACGCGCTTCGTGGCCTCATCAGGAGCTCCGCCGAAGGCCCCAGTGGCTGCGTTCGCATGCGGGCACCGCACCCATGTCGGCACACCCCCTCACACGTTTCGTGGCCCCTTAGGGAGCTCCGCCGAAGGTCCCAGTGGCTGCGTTCGCATGCGGGCACCGCTCCCATGTCGGCACACCCCTCACACGTTTCGTGGTCCCGCAGGGAGCGCCACCGAAGGTCCCAGTGTCTGCGTTCGCATCCAGGCACCGCACCCATTTCGGCACACCCCTCACACGTTTCGTGGTCTCATAGGGAATTCCACCGAAGGTCCCAGTGGCTGCGTTCGCATGCGGGCCCCGCGCCCATTTCGGCACACCCCTCACACGTTTCGTGGCCCCATACGGAGCTCCGCCGAAGGCCCCGGTGGCTGCGTTCGCATGCGGGCACCGCAACGGAGCTCCACCGAAGGCCCCAGTGGCTGCGTTCGCATGCGGGCACCTCGCCCATTTCGGCACACCCCTTACACGGTTCGTGGCCCCTTATGGAGCTCCGCCGAAGGCCCCAGTGGCTGCGTTCGCATGCGGGCACCGCGCCCATTTCGTTACACCCCTCACACGCTTCGTGGAGCAATTCGGCACGCCCCGCATGCTGTTCGTGGCCCCATAGGTAGCGCCATTGAAGAATGCAAGCACATTTGCGGTATTCACAACTGCATATGGTTGGGTCCTTCGCCAGGCTACTTGTTTCAAACGCGTCTTGGTGTCGTTTCAAACGGTTTCGGAAAACATTGTGTTGGGCGGGCCCAGAGTTTCGTTTTGCGTTGTTTTTCGTTGTTCGATTCATGCCGCGCGTTTCCGTTTGTTATGTGTTTCCCCGTGTTGTGGGTGGGAATCCTGGTGTTGGCTCTGCAGAACCCAAGGGGTTCTGACGTGGCCCCACTTGGGCTGAAGGGAAGGCCATGTAACACATCCATGGGCTTGGCTTTGCAGAGCCCAATGGATTTTGACATGGTCTCCCTTTGGCTGGTGTGAAGGCCGTGCCAAACATCCTTAGGTTTGGCCCTGCAGCACCCAAGGATTCTTGACCTGGCCTCCTTTGGGCTAAAGGGATGGCCATGTCTCAAATCCTCGGGTTTGCCCCTGCGGAGCCCAAGACAATGTGCATAGCCTCCTTTGGGCTGAAGGGAAGGCCATGTCAAACATCCTTGGGGTTGGCTCTGCAGAGCCCAAGGGGTTTTGTCATGGCCTCCTTTGGGCTGAAAGGAAGGCCATGCCAACCATGACTGGGGTTGGCTCTGCAGAGCCCGAGAATTTGGACACGGCCTCTTTTGGGCCGTGCAGAACCTAGCCGCTTTTGACGTGGTCTCCTTTGGGCGGGCGGGGAGACCATGCCAAAAGTGTTTGGGTTTGGCGCTGCAGAACCCACGGGGTGTTGACATGGCCTCCTTTTGGTTGAAGGGAAGGCCATGCAACAAATCATTAGGTTCGACCGTTCAGAGCCCAAGGGGTGATGACATGGCGTCCTTTGGGCTGAAGGAAGGCCATGTTAAAGCTCATTGGGTTTGGCCCTGCGGAGCCCAAGGGATTTGGACAAGGTCTCCTTTGGGCCGAAGGGAAGGCCATGCCAAAAACCTCCAGGTCTGGATCTGCAGAGCCCAAGGGATTTTGGCATGGCCTACTTCGGGCGGAAGGGGGGGCCATGCCAAACATCCTCGGGTTTGTCTTTGCAAAGCTCACGGGATTATGACATGGCGTCATTTGGGCTGGAG